CTTGCGGAATATGCCATATACCGCAGGTGAATATGACATATACCGCAGGTGAAAACGTGATACAGAAAGCCTTGATTTGATTGGTTGCGAGAATCGACTCTAAATGTAAAACTACGCTGGATTGCCAATATAGGTAGTGCGTCGAGTACTAATATATGAATCCTAGATTGATTGAGCAAGTTTATTACGCAAGATTGGTGACTGATACTTTTGCTAAATTAATATATTCGATACACAGTACTGTTGATTCAGTAATCATTATAATAATATACTTGTTCGTTCAATTGATGCAATTGACAATTGAGTACTTCCGTATCACGTTCTCATTGGTTAGTGTGTATGCCATTTACCGCAGGTGAATCTGTCATACACCGCAAGTGAATATGCCATATTCGTTGCGGAATATGACATATTTTTGTATCGTGTTTACCGCGTAACATTACCAATATAACAAGCAAGATTGTCTGTATCAAATATGCGCTCCCAGGCCATCTTAGAACATAGCTAAAATCAATCACGTAATGAGCGACGTGTAATCACTCATTTACACGTAAAAACCTGTAATTGTCACGCTTACCTGTAGCAAGGACGTCTAGAAAGTAGACTAATCTGACGTCATTTTCCTGCGCGCGCATAGAAGTACACGTTCATGCTTTGTTGAATATGCGTCTGTAAATTGCACGAATATGATAATCTCATGTAAAAACCTGTAAACTTCACGCTGGCCCACAGGAAATAAACAAATCTGACGTCATTTATCTGCGCGCGCATTGAAGTTCACGTTCAAGTTTTGCTAAATACGTGTAGCTTAATCTCTCTAATCACTGCTAAAGGCCCAATGCAAAATTAATTTTTTTTTATTAATCAAATATCAATTTTTCTTTTAAGGACAAATCAAATTGCTAGAACTACACCAGTGCACCAATGTTCACAATCAATGGAATCACCAAGGACGTCTATAGACAAGGCTTAAAGTGTATTCAGTAATAATTTCATTACTTTACAGAGTGGGCCAATGAAAATTGGCATCACTGCTGGAAACACAGTAACTTTCATACCATACAATATGTGTTTTCAAATGTTGCAAAATAAAATTCCAGGTTTTCAGGAATATTCTGACAATGATAAATTCAATACATTGATGTCCGGTGATAGTATCTCAATATATGTGGCAAAAGCCTGTGGCCAAATGCTGAAGATTAGGGAACATCACCTGTTTAGGTAATGTCCCCAGTGTCATATAGGCCATTAACGGTCTGGGGTTAATTGTGTATTTTAGTGGTATTTTATATATGATGTAATTGTTTAATACATGTACGTATTTATTATATAACCCATGACACTTAAATAAAATTTTACAATACAAGTGTGTAACCTTAAAATAGTCTCAACACAATGTCCATCAATTAAAACATAATGTAGTTATTAAAGGCAGAATCTGATCTATAGGGGGTGACAAAATTACAAGCAACATGTAGAATTGACCTACCAATCTATTCCTTACAATATCAAATACAATATCTCCCAAAATATTCACAATATGTTGTAAATTGGTGAAGTTATTCATGATTCAAAGTGCAAAAATGGGTGAAAATGTTTAAATTCTCCCAAATAATAAGAATGGTAACCATTCTTATAGAAAAATGATACATTATTGTAAAAATCTTTGGTTTTCCTGGAATAAAGTATGCACTTTTGTGATTTTTAGAAAATAGACATGACAAGGAATGACATGAGCCAAAAATATACTAAAATTGAAACAATTTTTTTGTTTAGCCTGCTCGCTATATCTGATTCTCTCTTTAACCTCAGTTTGTTAAAACTGACACAAAATGTACCGAAACCCATCATTTAAGCCATTTATGTCAAATACTGCTCAGACTGATTGTTCAGTTGGGTGGAGAGCACGTTCAAGAAACCATTGCATTGAGTGATTAAATGTTAACCTTGTATATTCATATTTCCTCAAGCTGTTGACAACGAATTGTTTTCAATTTCATTAAGTATTGAAGATAATATCTGACAATAGATTAACAATGAATGGAAAAGATGTTCCAATTTTCTTTGGCCCACTCTGTAGATTGGGGATTGAGATTTTCTAATTTTGCCAATATTTGGTTAATATCCCAGTGAATATCCTTTAGCTATACTGTATAAAAATACTAAATGTTTCGAAAATGGTACAAATATTGTAATGTTATTTGTAATGAAATGTGAAACTTGAACAAATAAAAATATGAATTTTACCCAATCATTTCTTTCAGTTCGTGTTTTTTGTGAACTTTAAAAAAATCTAATGGTGTAGTTATTTATAAGTACAGTAGTACTTCTTTATAGACTATAAAGAGGAATCAATCTACTATTCTAGTAATTAGTCTATCAATTTATCTCCCTGAGCAGATATCTAGTGTAACATCACTTATCTCCCTCTGAAAGGCCATTCCCTGTACACATTTTAAACCTCTGATACTGGTAACTTTTCCTCCTTATGCCTTGTGATGTGATGTTCAAATGCGACCAAGGGAGTATCTAGCCATACTGTGTGTATTGAGAGAAACCTTATAAGGTTTTAATACTGTACGTACCCTTCAGGGTAAAGAGATGTCTGATAATTGCTAATGTCGATCTGCAGTCTCGATTAACAGAATCGGGAATAGTTTAAACAGTCAATCTCTACATAGATGATATAATGTATTGAATGTTATGAAAAGTTACTGGACTGCCCATGCCTCATTAATTAGGTATCATTGAAAATAAGATTGCTTTCGAAATATCTAAATTAATAAACGATCAAAGCCCTCTAAAAGAGAATCGCATGTGATCATAAAACTAACGTTAATTTTCGCAAAAATACGTTAAATTCGGTAATTTTCTAACTAAATTGCCCCACGGAACGAATAAGCGGTAAAATGAGAAAATGAGCTTTCCGTCCACCGTACACCTCATGAGATCCAAATACCCCATTTTGAAAAATGGACGGACAAAAATACCAAATACCCCATCCACGCGCCAGATACCCAATGTCAACGCGCCTAATACCCACCTATAGGGTAAAAGGCGCGTGACAGGCGCCCGATACCACATGTTATTTTCTTCCGTACGTCCGTCCGTACGTACATCCGTACGTCCGTCCGTCCGGGCGATAACTCAAATACCGTTGGCCCGATTTTGTTCATATTTTGTACACATATACCCTATGGGGGTAGAAGTTCTGCTCGAAAGCCGATTTTCAAAATGGCCGCTCATTTAAAAATGGCGGCCATTTTAGTGCGGATTTTATATTAATTTAGGTACTGCATATAAAACTGTAATAGCAATATATTTTGAATGTAACAAAGTTATATAGGACATTGATTAAGCTAGAATGTAAAAAAGAAGAAATACATGGTAGGAATCTTGAAAAATGGCTGCCTTTGCACGTCATTTTACGATTTTTGCTGTAACTTGAAAAGTAGTGGAGCGATTTTGTAGCAGGAGGCCATTTTGAAAAATGGTCGCCATTTTTACGTGTGTTATTTAACATCTTTTACTGTAAGTCAAAAAGTAGTGGAGCGATTTTGTTCATATTTGGTATGTGAATACTTTAAGCATGTCCCAATGTCTAATGACATTTTGGGTAGTAGGCGGCCATTTTGAAAAATGGCCGCCATTTTTACGTGTGTTATTTTACATTTTTCACTATAACTCAAAAAGTAGTAGAGCGATGTTGTTCATGTTTTATATGTTAATACTATAAGCATAGCACACTGTCTAATGACACTTTGGGTAGTAGGCGGCCATTCATTTTGAAAAATGGCCACCATTTTTTATGTTTTTTACTATAACTCGAAAAGTAGTGGAGCGATTTTGTTCATATTTGATATGTGAATACTTATGAGCTTTGCACACTGTCTCATGACACTTCGGGTAGTAGGTGGCCATTTTAAAAAATGGCTGTCATTTTTACATTTTTACTACAACTCGAAAAGTTTGTTACTATTTGATATGTGAATATTCGTAAGGATTGCACACTGTCTTGTGACATTTTGGGTAGTAGGCCGCCATTTAAAAAATGGCCAGCATTTACATGTATGTGTGTGCGATTTTTAAAAATTTTCATATGTGGCTACTTAAAAGCATATACTTCTTCTGATGATAACTTGGCTTTTGAGCAACCATTTTGAAAATGGTGGCCTTTCTTATGGGTGTTATTTTATGATATTTGCTATATATTTTGTTTGAAAAAGTGCCAGCCATTTCTGTTCGATGGGATTCGCTACGCTTTGGCGTTGCCGTTATTCTGGTGGAGAAATGTGGACGTTTTGGTCCATCCTGTAGAACATAGAATACAAGTGATAGAAGAACATGCTAAATTACAATCTCAGATTTAGACATCTGCGCCATTTTTGTAAATTTCTAACCTTATCCTAAACCTTATCAAATTTACGGCTGGAAATACATTGATGTCATTTTGGGAGCACTTGTGTTTTAAGAACCTGTTGAACATACAAACTATTAGCCAATATGTTCTGCTTTCTTGCGTGAGGCAAGAAGGTGTGAAATATAAAAAGGACTATTAAGATTCGCTTGAAAAGTCAAAATTGTGAAACGTTAATAGATAAATTAACACGAATGTAGTGTTGATTCTGTCCCATCAGATGTCACATTGTCCTGCAATGTGAAAACAACATAATTAGTTATATCACGTTGTATTGTAACAGCTGCGTGAAACAACGATGACATTGGCGACATCAGCGTTGATTGTGTTTTGTGCTTTTGTTTTCATATTACCAGTTATGATCGATTAATTGTAACAAAGTATTTAAATTGTTTATTTGATAAAGTTAACAAATTTGTTAAACTTTGTTGAATCTCATTGTATGATATGGCAGAAAATGATATATAAATTTAAAATCGAATGATTAATAATAAAATTGACTGTATACTAGTATCCATATCTTTACGCCCCATAGTCATACAGACGGGTCTAGTTTAACATAAACAACAAACTTTTTACATTAATGCTGTCTAAAATTCTTTATTCAAGTGTAATTTTAAGTCCAAAATATGTTTTCATTATGCGTTTCCCAAGTCAGTCAAACTCACAGTCCCATGAAATAATCCAACTTGATCGATTCTCCTTCATTTGCAGTCTCCATATTTCTCATAAACCTTATTTTATGCGACTGTGGTTCAATGTGATTAGGCTACTGGTATGAATAATTCGGGTACATGAGGTCTGTCTACAATACACAGATTAGGCTGACAGTTCATGTCAAACACTCGCTTCGTACACAGATTTTCCACATGTATCTGCAATACGGCAAGACAAAAATATTACATACGACATGTAATGATATAATGCTTTACATGCCCGGAGCCAGCTTTTCGTAAGGGGGGGGGGGGTCGACCCCCCGATGCACACATACAATTTTTATCATGCTTAACCAACTTCGCATTGTTATTACAAGGGTGTTACAAAAATAAGGGAGGGGTCCCGAAAATAAGCAAGGGGTTCCAAATCTTTGTAAAACAATAGCTTGCAGTCGTTGTCGGGATGAGTCGTGTAGTGCTAACGCGAGGCCGTATTAGGCCGAGCAATAGGAGTGAGCCCGGGGAAATTAAGAATTTCTGGGCTGATTTGGCGCGTTCTGAGTGATTCTAGGATCAAAATGTATGATTTATATTTAAAGATTATGATTTTTTGGAGTTATTAGGCGCGTTCTGTGGGCGATTCAAGGATCAAATATTTAATTTATTTCAATTTACACTTTGGTCATGACTCTCAATAGAATTCTTATTTCATTTATTCACTTATTCAACATTATTCATACATGTTTTGAATTGTAATTGTAATGACTTCAACTTTTGTAACTCTCTATTAACTATATGTATATGTATCTACGCCCATTTTGTACTTTGACCTATTTTTGTGGGGGCCCAATCTTTTCGCGTCCCAACTCCCAACGCCCCCCCCCCCCGGCTACGGGCCTGCTTTAGACCAATTATTTCAAATGATGGCACTGGGTTTTGTTTGTCTCCGTTGATATTGCTCAACCTTGCAAGCTCCCGACACAATGTCTCGACAATAGACAATGTGGTAGCAAATGGACACTGACGAAATTAGTCGGCTTTTATACATACAATTCTTAAATTATAAATCATGCATTCTTTTGTATTGCTTAATCAGTTGATTTTTTAAAAGTATTAAGAAAGTCATAAATGTTAGAAGAAATTCGGGTGAGGACATTTTGAGAAAAGTGAAACTCTCTTGACTTGTACAAGGTTGTACATCGTTGTCTTTAGATATTTCTTTCTTCCGGCTGTGGTTGTACCCCATTTGGCCCTAGGCCACCAACCATTCGCAATTATTACCACCTTGCCGGGCCAGTTCTAGGGGTTTTAGTGCTAGTTTAGAAGGCGTTCATTTTACTATATCGACCTGAGAAATATGTGACGTCATAGTGGTGGTCCATATGGACCGGTCTAGAATATATTCTGGACCTGCAATTTTTCCTCGGTAAATTAGATATCGTTCAGTGCGCAAGATTTTCTTGCTATTTCAGCCCTGGTCGTTAACGCAAGGGCGTTACAATACCCGGGAATTTATCGGTTCGTGCAGTACTTGTTTGTGATAGCGCCCTCTGTAGGTCACTGTGCTTATAGCCTACAGTAATACGGGGTAGGATATCGGGAATTCGGTCAGTTTCTATCCGTCGATTTCGCTATGAATTGAAGCAAGTGTGACCACTTTATCCACTTAAACAATTTGATAATTGATTAAATCTTTAAACAAAATCGATAAACACGTTATACACTTCCTATCTCCTTAGAAATTAGCATGTATTTATGGATTGTGTTTTCGAACAAGGCTCGACCCAAACCAATAGGGAAATCCTTATGCTAATTAGTATGACGTCATATTTTCCTGGGGAATCCTAGATTTCAAAGCCTCAGTCTGTTATCGTGTCAAATGTAAACGCTCTTTTGCAGACAGAAAATTGACAGATTAGCTTTTAACTTTCAGCTTTGATGTTTAAATATTCTGTATTTCTACCGGACTTCTTGCTGAATATCATATAATGTTTTAACTTGATTTGGATCATTGCCTGATTGCTCATTCTGAAATTTTGATTGTGATTCATGATTGATTGGCAAGAAAAATAATTCCTATTGTTTTCCAGCGAAGTCAAAATGTTACAGCATGCGTTATAATGTCGAGTTTGCATCATGTTAAATTCTGCTTGTGATTTAGAAGTCCATGCACAAGCATACACATAAGAGACAAACACACCCAGGCTCCAGGCCGTGGATGGAAATATAAAACTATTTAAGGCACAAACTGGTATTCAAAATATGTGTCTGAGTAACAGTTATACAATATAAGATCGCAAACTCTTACCAATTATCAGCCGAATTGCTCATTTTCAACGAAATGTCCTTAAGACAACAGCCCTGGGTCGCGCCTGAGACCAAAAACTATTTCAAATAGCCCTCCCCTAATTATATTGGATAATCACATTTATGCGTGCGCGCGCAGCTCATCCACTGAACGAAACGCCACTTCCCGCTGAAATCACCGGGTATTGATCTTTCCCTTGGTTAACGGTGGTAATAATACTAATAACGTCATTTCTTCGAGCAATATATGAAATATTGGACCTTGGGCCTTCGGCCCTCGGTCCAATATTTCACTATATTGCCCTTAGAAATGACGTTATTGTACTATTAATATTATGGATGTAACATATTGTAAAGTGTGACTGTCAACAGGAAAGCTAATGCTCATGTTCACTTGAGTCAAATATTCATAACATTCTTACATTTTCAATCATCCATCCGTCTTCACCTGCGACCTTGACTGTGACGCCCACCAAGGGACTATCCATGACTGGCAGAAAATATTTGTTCCAACTGAAAAAGTTCAAATATAGCCAACTAAAGTTTTGCTATTCAAAATGAAAATTAAAAATGATGAACTTTGTAATTTCTGTGCCTGTAAGGACACATATGAGCATTTCTTTATAGAATGTAGAAAAATAAAACGAGTCTGGGAAATAATAGAGGTACGTTTATGGAGCTTCTCCGCACCCAATATTTAGAGGGGGCTCATATCTTAAAACATTTCCGAATTTTTATAAAATCACACAGATACTGCCTGGCTTCCAAGATGCAAAAATAATTTGTATAGATAGTGTACCTTGAACACCATTTTTTTTATGAATGCTGGGGACTCAGTATTAAAAGGATAATTTCAAAATATATAGGTCTGGGAAAGGTTTCAGACACACTGCGTCGCTATAGAATGAATTGCGCTACTATTTTCACAATTGTATTGATATTTGGTGTCAAATACACATATCTTGGTATATTTGAAGTCCCAAAACGGCTTAGTTTCAGAAATATCCCAAATTTAAATTCAAAAATGACCGTTAGCTCCGCACCCTCCGCTCATTTGCTCCGCACCCAATATTTCCCACAGGCTCTGTCTGCATAGGGTGAGGAAGTAACGTATGGCCAATCGCCCATACAAATGCATCGCTTAAATATTTTCCGTTAGATAGCAATTGCCAGGATAATTTGGAGAAAAGTCTAGTTTTGCGTTTTACTCTGGTCTCCCTTATTGTAACGTTATTGTTTTTTATTTGCGCCATATCAGGTATACAGGGCGTTGCTAGGGCGATTTTTGTAGGCTTTAAATCCGTTTTCATAACTCACAACTAAGTTTAGTATTATGTCTCAAAGTTAGCAGACTTCTTGATCACCATATAGTTGTATAGGATCGGTTCAAACTAATCAAGTGAATTACCTTACAATAATGGCAATACAATTTGGTCTCATGCCAACCTACATGTTCTTGGCATGTCTATTTGAAAATATATTAGAGAGACCAACGTGCAACCTACTTTTGTATATCTATTGTTAACTCTGGATATGATTATCGCTCGGAAATTGAAAAAGTCAGTCGGTGGGGGCGGGCGGCAGATTAAACAAACCCCGACTAACTTACTAGTAATTATTTTTCTGATGGCCGTGTCCAGAATCCTTAATGCTGTACCATTGTGAAACTGCACATGCAGTGTGAAATCGAATTTCCAAAGGGTTAGTTGTCTCGCCGTCTTTTCCCGTTAGTGCATATACTCGATAATTACACATAGTTGAGTTTCGATTACTAGATATAGTATCTATCTTGGCAAGGTCCTCTTGGGCCCCGGGGCTATTGTATCGCGTTGCATACTGTGATGCTAGTAAGAATATTTGGGGTGCATACGGTCTGTCTACCATACACATGTTAGGGTCACAGTTCATCTCAAACACTTGCTTCGTACAAAGATTTTTCACATGTATCTGCAATACAAAGTCATTTATGTTTATGTTAAAGCCTCTTTACCTTTGAATTTTTATTTATTTAACCTGCGCTGAAAATACTTATACTATTGAAAGAAACGTACTTTGACTTTATTTCCAATACCTCTAAATTTTCTCAATTTTTTTCCTCAATTACAATAGGTCGAAAATTGATGATAAATTTGAAGAATTTTTGAAAATCGACATTCCCATGTTAACCAATGGGAAATGGTAGGTTTGCCGCAAGTCATATGACAGAATATCCATCCATCCTAGTCCTTGCAAAAATTACAAGTTGAGTAGGCAATTGAATTTGCTAACTTTATTCAACAAAAAATTGATACGTTTCTTCAGGTTCAACAAAGTTATATGTCTTTAAAGTCAAAATTGTTTTTCAAAAAACCTCTCCCATTGATTTATATCACAGACATTGACTTGTGCACGTTGGTGGCCTTGCTCCTTTTTAATAGATCTCGTATCCTAAAAGCACATCGGTTCAAAAATAAATCCTAGAAGACCTTACATATTTTACCATACCGTGACATATTCATATAGTAATTCAATGATTAACTCTTTCTTGAAAAATAAATCTTCCAGAGTTGTTGAATTTTCTTGCAAAAATCGCTTACTCCCCCTCCGTCTCATTTTCCCGATCATCAGGCGTGAAATTGTAGTCTTACCAAATGTAATTAAAGTGTGGTATGTGAACCTTTTTTCAATTTTGAAAAGTGTATTTTGAAGGACTTATTGTTCAAAAATCGTGAATTTATTTAAAACTTTCTTTAAGAAGTCACATATATATTTTAATAAGCGATCATTCCGATCACAACAATGCATTTAGCATTCATCCTCTCGCGTTCTTGCCGAAAAATTTACGAAAATTGTTCCGAAATAACCGGGAAAAATGAACTCATCCATGCATGAAAATGGTTCAGAGAAAAATGATTTCAAAATTTCAGTTCTTATAAAAACCCGAATGGTACAATAATATTTATCCCATCGATCGAAGTTAGAAGGGATATAGGAAACGCCTTCGTCCTCCGTCCAATCATACGGAGTCTATGTGTCACAGATAATAAGAATATCAAGAGTCTGCGCATGCAGTGATGAAAAAATTGCTTCCAAAAGAATCAAGTCCTTGGGGAAAAAATTGATATCTCAAGGATATAAGAAACAAACACTGTCAGTATATATCAAAAAGACAATTGCTAAAAATAAATCGATACAGATAAAATACAAAAAGCAAAATCAAATATTAAAGATATTGTCAGAGTTCTAAGACTAATAAGGAAATGAGAAAAACAACAAGAATGAACAGAATTTAGATACCAGTCTCTGAAATGAGGGTAAACTATATAAGGAAAACAGCAACAAAAACAAACATTGATAAAGACAAAGGGCAAGGGGAGTGTAACCGGTAGAAAAGGCTTTAACCCACCGACGTGTAGTCACAAGTCTGCAGACCCGACACCAAACAAGACCAAAGAGGAAAAGTAATAGGGAGAAAGAAGACCAAGAAAGATGAAACTAAAGAGGACAAGAAAATAACAACAGAAACATAGAAGAAGAAACTAAGAAGACAAGAAGTGAAAGAAAAAGACAAATAAAATCAGAAGAAGTAAGAAGAAAACAACAGCAACTACAAATACATTTTCAAGCTGGACTGAATGATGATGACATGAAAAGCATGTAAACAAGACGTCCGTCCGTCAGTACGTACGTATGTACGTCTGTCCGTACGCCCGGGCCATAACTCAAATACCGTTTGCCCGATTTTGTTCAATATACAGGGTGGTCCAAAAAAATGGGACACTCGTATTTCAAAAATAAATCTTGATTTTCTTGATGAAAACATGTCATGTTATATACCAATGGATAGGGAATTTACTCATCTTTAATTTGGTATATCATACATCCAAATTTACTATAATGTCTGTCAACCAGCGTCCATGATATAAATGACGTCATTTTCGTTTCAAAACGAGTTTTCCAAAACTTGCAAAACCAAGTTTTATCGTCAACTTTATTCACATAAACAGATGTTCAATATGTCCTCCATTTTGATCAATTGTAGCCCTCAATTTTGGCCTAAACTGGTCAATAGCATTATTGATATGCTGATGAGACAATGAATTTCACTTCTCTAATTCTGTCCTTCAGAGACTGAATGGATGTAAAGGATTTATGGTTCACTAAATCTGTTAGTTTTTCCCATACGTGGTAGTCACAGACGTTGGGTGATCGGGTGATCTGGGGAGCCAGTCATTAAGGGGGGGGGGGGGTGAATCTAGGCACATTTTCTTATATACATTTGACAATCTTGTGGGATCTATTGCTTAGAGCCCCATCTTGTTGGAAAATGTAATGATTCCAAAATGAGCTCATATCAGAATGGTCCATAACAACATAATTGGATCATCCGATATCAACGTCTGCGACAACCACATATTGGGAGAACTAACAGAATTAGTGAACCATAAATCCTTTACATCTATTCGGTCCCCGAAGAACAGAATTATTGAGAAGTGAAATTCATTGTCTCAAAAGCAAACCAATGATGCTATTGACCAGTTTAGGCCAAAATTGAGGGCTACAATTGATCAAAATGGTGGACATATTGAACGTCTGTTTATGTAAATAAAGTTGACAATAAAACTTGTTTTTTGCAAGTTTTGGAGAACCCGTTTTGAAACGAAAATGACATCATTTATATTATGGACGCTGGTTGACAGACATTATAATAAATTTGAACTTATGATATACCAAATTAAAGATGAGTAAATTCCCTATCCATTGGTATATAATATGACATGTTTTTGTTAAGAAAATCAATATTCATTTTTGAAATACGAGTGTCCCATTTTTTAAACCACCCTGTATATAAAACTCTAATCATGACAGTATAAAAACTTATATAGGACATTAATGAAGCTAGAAATGTAGATCATGGCAACCATCTTGTCCGCCTTTACACGCTATGCATGGCACACTCACTTAATAGCCACATGGTTGGATGATTTCTGGCTTGAAATTCCGTGTTTTCAATTTAGTTTTGAAGTTTTTCAAGTAGTTTTGTGCAGTTTAAGATTATTCTGACAGCAATTATGAAAAATATGGCTACTTTAATACCCCTGGGGTCATTTTTCCAAGAACCCAATGGTTTTCCTTTTAATTTGACTAGTTTTTCATTTACATCGTGAAATCTACTGCCTGATTGTGACATTTTACAATATCGTGTCAAGAAATTGAGTATTTTATTGCATATTGCGATTTTAAGCCAAAATCACTGAACCGTGAACCAGAAAATTGGGCAAATTTGGCCTACTGTGGCAAAACTTTACTAAATTTATCGTTTTTTGATACTTTATTCCATTCAACAACCTCCTGATTTAAAAAATGATGACAAATGTGACCAGCTTTGACTCTGGCCTAGACAATTGGGACTTTTGAGATATTTTTAGCTCGAATTTAGTCATACAGAGTGAACAAATACACCAAAATTTGACACTTAACTGACCGATCTCTGACTGTACCCCTGATATGTACCTTCATTCTTTACTGGAAACCATAAGATGGAAAATTCAGAAACTCATTTGCTTCCCCATTTACGACAACATATCACATCTAGGGGTCATTAAGGGCGAAATTGTAGCCAAATATCGTCAAAATCAGTGGAAGTGACGTATTAGGGCATTTTGGCCCTTATGACACTTTGGCTAGGAGGCAGCCATTTTCAAAATGGCCGCCATTTTACGTGTGTTATTTTACGTTTTTTACAATAACTCAAAAAAGTAATACATCGGTTTTGTTCATATTTGATATGTGAATACTCATAAGCACGACTCACTCTTTTATTACATTTTCGCTAGTGCAAGAAAATTCAACAAATCTGGAAGATTTATTTTTGAAGAGAAAGTTTACCATGAATTGCTAAATGAATAGGCGCATGGTATGGTAAAGCATGTAAGGTTACATATTGTAATTGTTTATTCATTGTTGTTGAATTTCGACTTGTTCTGTCTCAAATTATTTCTCTCTTCTTCACAGTTGTGTTTCGTAATACTCTGACGACTACATAAGTCTATCCCAAATGGCCTAAGGCCACCATGCCTTCGTGGATGGCACATATTGTAAAGTGTGTCAACAAGAACAGCTTATACTCATGTTCACTTATATAGTCAAATATTCATAACATTCTTACATTTTCAATCATCCATGCGTCTTCACCTGTATTCCTGATTGTGATGCCCATCAAGGGACTATCCATAACTGGCAGAAAATATTTGTTCCAACTGAAAAAGTTCAAGATAGCAATGGACGATCAATTTTTGAAAAGGCAATGGCAACGTCCTTAGTAATAATAATCAAAAATCGTAGATAAATAATATTATGTAAGTTTTTAAGAAATAGCGGACAAACCACATTGGCATACCTGTTTTTCAATGTTTCATACACTAGTCAATATGTTGCGTTTTGAGGCACAGTTAACCTCTTAGAAAGGAAAAATGTATCCCTTTGTCATTTGGGATAAAGTAGAAAACAATATTCCCCATGTTATTTTTCCAGAGGGAGAACTCATGCAATCAACAATCATTGTTTTCTGCTTAAATTTGGAAGTCCATAACTGATATCTTTAAAACCCCCGATGGATTACATTTTCCTTGAAATAGGATAAATGTGTTCCAAAATGCAACATATTGATGCAAAAATATTGAAAAACAGGTGTGGAAATGACTGAAAATCAGAACAACATCTCAGAGAAAATATGCTGGTAGTGTGATTGGGACACCGGAACTTCCCTGTCTCAAAGTCCAATTTTTTCATTATCTCTACGAGTACTTTTCTTGGGGGTAATGCATTGGCCTATTATATACACCTACTTAATCCTCAGAAAACCACAATCCAACATATCACTGTCTGAAATCTGTTGCTGTACTTTCCCTGCTCCTTTCAAATCAAGCCAATATTTGTGTTTATGAAATTATGTAACATAATTCTCAAGATACTAAGTATTCCTAAATTCATTTCTGTAACCGTAGCTATGGTTGAAAATGGCGTCATAATATAAAGAGAACTGTATCAAATTTTAGCTTAACGCTTATATAATCCAAACTAGTTCTCAACCGTTCTTTACAGTTCTACAAAAGTCGTAAAACGGCCTAAATCTGGCTTTGGTCGGGAAATATGTCTAAAATAATTCCCGACCTCGTTCATTAACATTCTTCAATACGTCCATCTCATTCACAGTTCGTTCAGGTCGCATCATGTCGGTGTGCAAACCTAAGTTGGGTCGAAGTATGACATATTCGTTCGCAATTTAGTAGGTTATCTCGTTTCAAGTACGTTGTCACACGATCTAATTTCAGAACGGTATGGTCGCCATCGAATTTTGAAATGGTTCAAAATTCGAAATCACATTCCCGATTGAGCGTGTCCATGAAAAATTTAAATAGACCATAGAAAGTTGCAGCTATGTTCATTCCGTTCGTACCAGTTTAAAACCAGTTCTAAAGAACGCTGTGACAACTATTTTGGTGTGATAGCTAGTATTACTAACTCGTTTATAAACAGTCTATAATACGTCCATCTCGTCTATATTCCGTCTACAGTACGTTGCTTTCAAGTTTAGATCGAGTAAGATTCACATTTTCACGCGTTCATCTCGTCTACACAACGTATCCAAGCAATTTAATTACATTCTTTATCGGTACAAACCCGTTGGCTCGTTCTCAATACGTTCCCAATATGTTAATGAATTATCCACCTATTTTCTAGACGGGAGTGTCCCTAATTCGTGCAGGTTGGGTTGGGCGATTGGGTTGGACGCCAGGTTTCAGCTGCCAGGATGCACGGCAGGTACTATTCATGTTAAAATGTTAAGGTGCCTTCAGATTGCAATTAACCCGGTAGCCGATAGCTGTTAATTGCAGTCGCGAACACAGCTTAAGAACGTTGTCACTTATTTTGATTGTTGGAACAAAATAGCATATACAACATGTTTTTAGACCTCTCAATATCATAGTTACACAAAGGAATTTTTGGTTGATTTTAAAAAAGTATTCAAAAATTAAAACAAAATACCCCCAAAATAGATAAAAATCAAGATAAATCTATTATTCATTAACAAGACACTTTTTTTAAATCAACCAAAATTTCCTTTGTACAATTACAATGGAGAGGTTAAGCAAATACGGTTTTTCAAAACGTATACGTAAACGCAAAGTACATTGAATCAACATAGGATTGTATCGCTTTAGTCTACTTCAGATACCCGTTCAACTTCAAAGTTGCGTGTTTAGACACAACGAGAAACACTATATATAATAAACATCAATACGACGAGATAATAGATTTATTATCCAAATTGAATAATAAATAATAAGATCAGCTATTGTTGAATAACATTCTGCCCGGGATTTGTTATTAATCATATAGAAATGTCTTATCCGAACAGCTTACATGTACGTATTATCCGTTGCGGCCATTAACAATTTTACATATCTAATTAGCTAAGTAAATAAACATGCGTCGACACAGTCGCAGTTGACTATGAAAAGTTCAATCATCAATGATTTATTATGTTTAAAAAGAAAATGTTTGATTTTTAAGTTCAACCTTTAATTCTTATTATCAAGAACGCGCATGCAAATTCGCCAACCATGTACATTGTTTGCAGTTTGCGCAATTTAATGTAAATCATTGCATATTTTTCGATATACTGTAATACTATTCATTATTTGTAAAATTGAACCGAACATAATCTAAAATTAATCAGCTTTAAATACATTATATGTCATAAAAGTTGCCCTAAAACAATATAATTCGTGCGTTTGTAAATGCTCTAAAGCCCCGCTAGTATAGATTTAGATTTAGATTTATGAACTTTATTACACATTCATACCCATAAAAGGTTAAGTGTACACAAAGTAAACACTAATTTTACAATATATCAATACAACAGAAAACAGTATATATAACAACACACAAAATTAACACTTCATAATAAATAAATAAGTAAATAAATGAACAAATAAATATGCATCATGGATAAGCACATGAATGGTGATTGTGATACGCGTCCATTGTTTATGTCATATATCACACCCTTCTATGTTATATTACATTTATGAATAAATTCTGCTACAATTTCAATTTCTTTATTTTCACAAGACATACAATATTGGAAAAAAAGTGAATCGTCCTCCATGTTGTATATGAACGAATCCTAAATAGAAATGAGTAAAATTCGTTCCCATTAGTGTGTACACGTTCTACACCGAGAATTCTCCTTTAAATCAAATCAGTCCACTAGTATGAGTTAAGAATGGACAGAGAGACGGATGGCTTCATTCAATGGGATAATTAAGATATTTCAAAACCAGTGTCATTCTTCTATGCATACATCACTCCAATCATAACATAAAACAAGCTGTTTATTTTAAAACTATTTTTTACGAATTTATGATAAGTGTATAATGTTCAATCATACAAATCGCAGTCAGTGATTGTTCTCCACACTCACCCCTCCCCCTTCCTGACATAAACTATTTTGTAAAACCATTGACAGTGTGGAAAGGATCAGGCCCGTAGCCAGGATTTGCCAAGGGGGGGGTTCATTTTTCAAAAATTTCCAGGGGGGTTCACATTTGACAATTTTGGCCCAAATATGGCTAAAATCACTTGAGAAGTGCTCAAAATGGTGAAAAACTGCATGATTTTGAAAGAATTTTTGGCCAGGGGGGGGGTTCGTCTGAACCCTGCGAACCCCCCTGGCTACGGGCCTGAGGATTCTTACACTCGAGTGTCAAGGGGGGGGGGGGGGGGGGGCAGTTACAGAATTATACAAGGCGATGGTTCAAATTGGACAATTTTCAAAACTGCTCAACATGGTGAAAACTTCACGTTTTTAAAGAATGCTTGCCCAGCGAGTGGTTTGCTCTGGATTGCGAGAGAACAAAAACATTGAGTTAGGATTTTTCCTAATACTGTTTAGATTATAACTTTTTAAACCGTCTCTGACTACATATCATGCCAATTAATACCATTATTGTGTTGACAGGATTAAATATGATATCTCTGGAATTATAATTTAATGAACTCAATAGTCTAAATGATAGTAAGTTCATAATTTAGTCTTGGCTGACTAGTCTTGCATCAGAGTTGGATTGCAAATGCATCCCTAAATCAAATATTTAAAATTTACAAATATACTAGTGTACGGGGTGGGGAAAAAAGTCTCCATCAAACCACTAAAGTTTAAAAGGAAGACTATAGTGTCCCGTGAATTCATTATAATTATCTTAGACAATAGTGAAGCGGTACAATCATTGGAGTGTTGATTAATCGGAATGCAAGTTTGATTTAAAATAACTCCTTTGGATCAAATATTTAAATACTACTAGAATACGGGGAGTGGAAACAAGTCTCCATTCAAGCACTAAATATCAAAAGAAAGATTTCAGTACCCCTTAACTTCACTCCCGGACTTCACTATTCACCACCACCCCTCCCCCTTCCCCAAGTATCCCTTATGACCCCAGAATGTTCGTTTCTGTGCCCCCCCCCCTGTCCATGGCCAGTAAGTAATCTATGTGTATATTGGCTCCCTCCCAAAGGTGGGAAAACCAGATGCAGGCATAGACATTGACAAGGTGAGGGGAATTAAATATAAAAATAGTCTTGTTTTTGGCTCCGACTTATATATTTTGGCACTGTTTAACGAAGCCGGTTTAAAGGGATAATAACCTCAAGTAAAAACTATGATTCATCAGAATAATAAGTCTATAATCAAAAACATGACCCGGGTATGAGCGACGATCTTCTTATGCATCGGCAGATATATTGGAATTAATTTTGAGGTATTGGATCTTCACCTGGATTATGGAGGTCGCCATAACCTACCTATGAATATTCATGAGCGGCGTCACTGCGACTCGACAAATTCCAGCATTTTGATTGGCCCGAAAAATGCGCATGCGCAATTGTAGCGGGGCGGCCACATTGAAAAATATTACGAACTTCTTAACAAGAAAATGGAGCAATTTGAAGATTTTGACGATGTATTTGGCATATTGACATACTATAATATGATATCACCTGTTCGAGAAAAACATGACCATGTTCACATCAATACTTACAATTCATAGAATTAACTCCCAAAGTGCCAATCAAAACCAAAAACTGACCAACTCGTGAACGTTGGTTACCGACATGACAGGAAAATGCGTTAATTTTATGTTGACAATCAATTATCTCTCGATCGTTTTG